TCAGCTTAGGCTTTTAATTGAGATGGAGCACATTAATTTAGTATCAGAGCCAGACCAAAGGTCATGAGTTCATGGGTTCGAATCATGTGTATGAAGATATGTGGAATTATATTCCTTACTTTAAAAATTGAACTAAACAGTGAAATAGATCGATCTATTCACGAGATGACATTTAATTTTCAATGTATTTCACGAACCAAATGTCACGTAAGTATTATATATAGATAAATTTTTTACTGGTTTAGATCACTTAAAGATATGTGGACTAAATTTTACTAAATTGTATAATGTGTTTAATTAGTAACATCTTAATATAATTTGACAATCAATCTTGCAATAACTAATTAATAAATACAAACCATGAGTGTAATCTGTTTTTTGGATACTTTAAAACATACCAAGAATCTATAAATAAAATCTTTTTAAAATGCCAAAAAGCATCCTTGCATTCATTATCTTCAATTAATATTTTCCATTTTGGTATTCATTTTCTTTTGGTGAAAATATTCAATTATATAATTTGCATCATGCACAACACTTATTCAACATTTCAACATACCAGGCTAAAAATGGCTCCTAAGTTAAGTGTTATCTAACAAAGCACAAATGTTTCCCGCTGTGTTTTAGACTATCATATCCCTACAAAATTGTTGGGCTTACTGGTTTGAGCTAAATAATGACTTTTTTTTTGGGTTTGGTTGTCCCTAATCCTTAACTACAGGCTGTTGGGTCAGTCGTTATATCGTGGACCATGGTCCACAAAGCTTTGTGAACTATAGTCCAAAAACAGCGCCGTTTTTTAAGTAAAGAAACGGTTGTTGTTACATCTTAACGATCCTGTATTTTTGATGTGTTAATTACGAAATGAAACTATAGCGTATCTAAAATAAAACTGTCTCACACATTGTTTTTATATTATCAAATAAAACTGTAATTGAATTGAAATGAAACTGTAGTTGTGTTGTAATGAAACTGTAGTGTATATAAAATGAAATTAAATAACAGTTTCACATATTTGAATGTATAATGTCGAATGAAACTGTAATTATATCGAAATGAAACTGCAGTGTATATAAAATAAACTTAATAACAGTTTCACATATTTGAGTGTATATTGTCCAATGAAACTGTAGTTATATCGAAATGATACTGTAGTTGTGTTGTAATGAAACTATAGTGTATATAAAATGAAACTGAATAACAATTTCACATATTTGAGTGTATAATATCGAATGAAACTGTAGTTATATCGAAATGAGACTGTAGTTGTGTTGAAATAAAACTGCAGTGTATATAAAATGAAACTGAATATGATATGTTATACAAACAAAGCAACTTTATACACCTTTCAAAAAAAAAAAGCTACTTTATACAAATCAGGTGCCGTTTCTTTTCATTAAAAGAAACGGCACCATTTTGGACCATGATCCACAATACTTTGTGGACTATGGTCCACGGTATAATTTGCCCTGTTGGGTCTATTGGGCGAGTTGAACCACTAAACTATAATTGAAAGATGAGAGTACGAATGTGTCTACATTCGGGGCTATTGGGCGGGTTGAACCATTAAACTAAAATTGAAAAATAAGAATGATGAGTATCCACGTTTGTATTTCGGCCCACAGCATCCTCTTCTCCAATTCAATGGCCATCCCTCTCGAAATTCCCCTAGAAATCTTAGGGAATGGCCAAGCTAGTATAAGTTCTTGGCAAATGAATTCATAGATAGGAAGATGAGAATACGTTTGGTGGATGTGAATTTCGGGGAAGATTATTGTAATCAGAAAATGTTGACATCTTGCTATAAAAAAAAATGGACTATCATAAATGTGAAAATTTTATGGGTTTCTAAAAAGATTGAGTGGGGACTTGTTTCTAAAGTGGGTTGATGAGGATGATGTCTTGGGCCCACACGATTGTCCATCAATTCTGCTTTCAAATTTTGGGAAGTACTCAATGTGTTGACAACGAGGGTGCAGTGTGGTCACAACAAGACGAGATGTTTATAAATTACAAGTGAATTTAATAGTATTTAACTTGTTGGTGAAATGTGGGTGGGATAATCGAGATGTTTATCGGACGGTTTATGTAGTGTTTATTTGGAAATTAAATGTGAGTCAATGTTTGAGATTTTTCATTGTAATGATTTGTTGTGGCATTAAAAAGATACAGAAGTATCGTCCATAAGTCTTAGTGCTTTGTGGACACACTAGGATTATTATTGGTTCACTTGTATTTGCACCTATAAAATACTATTGAAATCTTCTTAGAAGTACTTTGTGGATACACTAGGATTTGGTTCACTCTCTATACTTTTTACTTTACTGCATTTAATATTTCAGCTGATCGAACCCGTCAAGTACACACGTTAACACATTTCAAGTTATTTTAACTAAATCGCACTACAACATATTTTAAGACTTCAGTTGCCTTTCACTTGCTTTCGGGGTGGTGGTATGATTTGATTTAAAAATTGTTTTTAAGGTAACATTTTAGAAAACTCAATTCAACCCGTCCCCTTCTAAACTTTTTATCAATCGAACACTTGTTTAGATGAGAACGTGAGAACAAATTGTGTGTATCCATCTAATATTTTTTAATGATCTAGATTAGATTAAGTGTATGCCAACGCGAAATAAATGTGTGCAAATGCGATTAAGTGTGTTTGCACACATTTAATTCGCGTTCACACACACTTAATCTAATCTAGACCATTAAAAAATATTAGATGGATGCACACGATTTGTTCTCACGTTCTCACCTAAGAAAGTGTTCTCATTGGAACCCTACTCTCTCTTTCTCTTTCTCTCTCTCTCTCTCTCTCTCTATATATATATATATATATATATATATATATATATATATATATATATTGATGCTATATATCTTTATTACTGAAATATTTCAGTAGTAAGATTTTATTATTACTATTTCATGTATTTCAGGAGTAGAGTTTTTAATATTATTATTTCAAAAGATTTTTTTTTTATTGTTATTTCATTACAATATATACAGGTTAAAAAAATGTATTGTTTCAGTATTAGTTTTTATTTGAGTAAATATCCAAAATGGTCTCTCGACTATAGCTAAATTCACAAATTGGTCTTCGACTTTCAATTTCAACCAATTAAGTCCTTAACTTTGCAATTTTAACACGATTTGATCCTCCGTCTATTTGACCGTTTGTTGACTATGATTTTTGAGGATATATATGTAATTTCATGGTCCATCGTCGGGTTTTTAGGGTTCCGGTTGCATTTTTAAACCGCACTGTTACATTTGAATCCACTGTAGAAAGCAATCTACCAAATCCGGTCGCCTTTCTTCATCCTCCCTTTGGATTCAATGTAGTTGAGTTTGTACCAGAGCGAAGAAGATGACGTGTTTCCGAAACGGTGCAACGTCATCCTGGGGGCCTCCATGTGCTCCAACAAAAGTTGCAGGTTCTTCTTGAGATCGTCGATGACGACGCGGCCGCCGACGATGATGCAGAAGTGTTTGAAGGCCTGTTTGAAGTCGGGAATGTAGGGTTTCCATTTGGGATTGAAGATTTTCCGGTCGATTAGGGTGAAGAGGAAGAGGAGCTGCTCCGACGCCAGGAGAACGAGCGGGCCGATTGTGGTTATGTTGGATTTGAGGGCTTCACCAAAGGTCTTTTGAGAGTTTGATTCCGACTTTTCCTTGCGGATCTTCCTGCTCGTAAACGCAGCGGTAGGCTTTGTCGTTCGCGCCCTTGTGCATGCGGACCACGTGCATGAGCCGGTACTTAGCCCGACTCGAATCGCGCTTCTTGTTGGACACGAGAAACGCGGCGCCGCCCATTCTGAAGTGGCAGTTAGGGGGGGAGCATAACTCTCTCCGATCCTTTGTAATAGTTGAGCGTAATAATCTCCGTGCTAACCACCAGGGCGTTAGAGTTGGGGTGCACGTACAGGAGGTCACGTGCGAGATCGATCGAGATCAGGCCAGCCCTGCACCCCATGCCGGGGAGATTATATATATAGCTTTTGATAGATAGATCAGCGAAGTCACTGGAGTAGCTCTTCGAAAAAGTCGTGACTCCAAGCGACGTAGGCAAGCTGAACCGGCTCGTGATCCCCAAGCAGCAAGCGGAGAAGCACTCCCCCCTCCGAAACGGCGCTGTCACCTCCAAGAGCGTTCTCTAAGCTGAACCGGCTCGTGATCCCCAAGCTGCAAACGGAGAAGCACTTCCCCCTCCGAAACAGCGCTGTCACCTCCAAGAGCATTCTCTTGAGCTTTGCACGTGAAATTACATATATATCCTCAAAGATCACGGTCAACAAACGGTCAAATAGACGGAGGACCAAATCGTGTTAAAATTGCAAAGTTAAGGACTTAATTGATTGAAATTGCAAGGCGAGGACCAATTTGTGAATTTAGCTATAGTCGAGGGACCATTTTGGATATTTACTCTTTTTATTTACTATAGGAATTGAAATTACAATTATTATTATTATTATTTGCTATTTTACATTGATTTTCATTACTATTCCCAATTATTTATTATTCAAAATATTAAGGAATGTATACTCTAAATTTGAATTGAACATTGTCATTGGAATATTAAAAATTAAATATGTTACTATAATATGCATGGCTACAAATCATTAAATCAAAACATATAAAGTAAATGAAAATATAATATTAGCCGTCAAACATTTCAAAAAATAGCGAAAACGACGTAGTTTCGAATTGATTTTTTGTGCGAATAGAAGATTAGATGTCACGTATTTCACCAAACAAAAAAAAAAATTCCAAAACAACGTAGTTTTAATTAGGTGGGAAATTATTTATTTTTTTTTAATGAAAAAATCTTCTGCTTTATTATATTGTAGGATTAATATTTCCATTTTGGTATTCATTTTCTTTTGGTGAAAATATTAAATTGTATAAATATCTGCATCATGCACAACACTTTATTCAACAGGCCAGGCTAGAAATGGCTCCTAAGCGTTATCTAACAAATCACAAACGTTTTCTACTTCTTCTTCTCATTCTCTCCCTATTTGCCCTCTACATGACCTCTACTTTGCGTTCCACCCCACAACAATCTCTTCCCCAATTCAATGGCCATCTCTCTCGAAATTCCCCTAGAAATCTTAGGGAATTGCCAAGCTGGTATAAGTTCTTGGCAAATGAATTCATGGATAGGAAGATGAGAATAGGTTTGTTGGGTGTGGAATTTCAGGGCGAACGATTATTGCAGTCAGAAAATATGGACATTCTGTCCGGTCAGAGTGTGAGGGACCCTTTGAGTTGGGAATTCAACCTTTTGGGACAAGAAAATGTGGACATCATAAATGTGAAATTTCAACGCGTTTCTGAAAAGGTGGAGTGGGGTCACTTGTTTCCAAAGTGGGTTGACGAAGATGATGTCTTGGGCCCACACGACTGCCCAACAATCCCGCTTCCGGATTTTGGGAATTACAAGGGGCTCAATGTGGTGGTGGCGAGGGTGCCGTGTGGTCACAGAAACATAAGTGATGTTTATAGATTACAAGTGAATTTGATTGTGGCTAACTTGTTGGTGAAATGCGGGTTGGATAATCGAGATGTTTACTCGAGTGTTTATGCAGTGTTTATTGGGGAATGTGAGCCGATGTTTGAGATTTTTCGTTGTAATGATTTGTTGTGGCATCAAAAAGATGTCAGAATTTACAAGCCGAGCTTAACAAAATTGAAGCAAAAGCTGGTTATGCCTATTGGTTCTTGCCAACTTGCTCGTCCATTTGCCGAACAAGGTAAGTAATTAAATTTTATTTACGATTCTTAGAAAAATCTTCCCCTTTTTATATTATTATTATTATTATTATTATTATTATTATTATTATTATTATTATTATTATTATTATTATTATTATTATTGATGAGTTAATTTCATTTTTTGTCCTAGAAAATCTAGGTGGCAATTTACTTTTAAGTTTTTTTTTTATTTATTAGAACATCCACTTTTGGTCATAATATTATTGTAGCATGATTATTTTTGATCCTTTATCAATAAAATAGTTTTAATATCGTTCAATACAATGGTATTTTGGTCTTCAATTATGGATTTTTTCAAAAAAATATAGCGCTTAAACCTACTTTGTATAAAAAAGATTGAAATGTCTTTGTATTTAACAACATTTCAACAATTTTGTTGAAGGAGGACGTACTAAAAATGGTCATGTATGTCACAATAATATTAAAACTAAATGAGAATGTTCTAATAAAAAAAGGACTAAAATGGACAGTGACCTATAAATTTAGAAAAAAAATAGAATTAACTCTATTATTTGTATTATTAAAAGAAAATGAATTTGGGGTCAATGGGAGACCCAAAATCCAAAAAAAAAATTGATTAAAAGCGATAAAAACTCTTTGTGAGTATAGTGGGTGGATAATGAAGACTCAGTGTTGTTGAGCAGGGATTATGTGACCTTAGAATTATATTAGTCTAGTGTAAGCTGTAAACCTAATGTATTAAAAAAAAAATTGTCAAAATGTTAGTTTCTGAAAAGAGGAAACTAGGAAAGTGAAGGGATTTTGTATTTTTGATATATAGGTCTTACTTTTTTCTTTTTCTTTTTTTTTTTTTTCGTATTTTTGTCATATATTCATAGGGGTCTCCAAATTGACATTATATTCTTCCTTTCATAATATACAACGCAGGAAAAGAAATATGGAGAAGATATGCTTTAGTAGCAGCAAAAAGAAAAATCTACAAACCAAGACAAGCCTACGTCACTGTTCTCCACTCCTCCGAAGCCAATGTTTGTGGGGCAATTACATTGGCTCAAAGCATCATTCAATCCAACTCAACCAGAGACCTCGTCCTCCTCGCAGATTCCTCAATCTCCCCGAGAACCCTCCGAGGTCTCCAGGAAGCCGGATGGAAGATCAAGCCGATTATTCAACCCATCGGAGAGAGGGACGCATACAGTAAGCTGAGGATATGGGAGCAGCTGGTGGAGTACGAGAAAGTCATGTTTGTGGACTCCGACGTTGTTGTCCTCAAGAACATGGACCTGTTCTTTGTTTACCCAGAGATGTCCGCCGCCAAGAACGACGGCGGCCACTTTTTCAGCTCCGGGGTGATGATAGTGGAGCCCTCGAGGTGCACATTCGAAGCTCTGATGGAGAAGATCAGGTATGAGGTTGTTTGGTACAGGTATTGTCAGTGTGATAAAAATGGCTGCCTCCAGGCGATTTCGGCCCTTAGCGGTTAACTGGCCAACTAGGCACTGACTTGGCCGAGTTGAGAGCCTAACTTGGTCGAGTCAGACGCCTAACTCGACCGAGTCGGTACCCAATTCGGTTGAGTTGGCGTTCAACTCGACAACTGAGTGGTTTTTTTTTTGCCTATTTCACTACTCATTTTTTTATATTTTTCTAGTCATGTACTCAACTAACCATCTAACATAAGCAGTTAACTAGTTTGGAGGATTATAACAGTCTAACAACTCTTAGCCCTGAGTGAAAAAGTGGAGGCGAAATACTCAGATTATTCGGTCGCATTGGTGCCTTCGGGGGCTCGATTAGCGCCTAACACCTCGTGCAACATTGAGTACTGTATGAGGGAAAAGGAGTACTGGTTTTGTAAGCTTGAGTCCTGTGACACCCAAACAAACTAGAGACATTTGTGCTTGCAGGTGCCAGGGCACACTAGTCAAAAGCCTTTTCCACTACAAAGAATCCGAATCCACTCATTATTCATTATAAGCCTATAATATATTTATATCTTTATCTTACTATATTGAGGGTCGACCATACATATATTTGTACTACATATAGCCACTCAAAATGTCATTTTATACCATTTGTTCTGACAGGTACAACAGCAGCGGCAACGAAGGTTTATTGAACGAAATGTTGGTGTGGTGGCACCGGCTGCCGATGAAGGTGAATGGCCACAAGGTTTTCACAAGCACTTCTAGAAATCAACGCAGAGTTCCTTATGGCAGCGACTCGGCGTATCAGCGGCGGCGGGAAGTGTACAATAACATGCCGAGAGGGCTCCGGGAGTTTTGCGCATCCAGTCCCAAAATGGATGCCGCCGGCCAGGATAATAAGAAGGTGGAGAGGAGATTAAAAGCTTAGAAGTTATTAGAAGGCATTATTTAGAGTAAATGTAAAGGATCCAACAAGGCATTATTTAGAGTTTGGAGTGCAGTGAGATTGAAGCTATTGAAAGTTTCAATTTGAAACAATATATTTAAACAATAAGTATGTTAAGTTGTTAACTTTCCAACACCACCAAGGAAGGTTATGTTCAATACTTGACTTAATAGTCAAAGGACTGGTTAAAAACTTGTTGTGTTGTCTCTTGAATAGTAACATTGGTATTTTCTAAGTACTATGAGTACCATAACTTTAGATGCTATATATATAATATACTAAGCATAATGGTGAAATACATACTTAAACATAGATGTCTAGTCCAACTAAATTACTTAATGGGCCTAGTCCACTTGCACAGTTGCACTACATAATTAAGACCCATAATATATAACAATTGTTATGCCATGGACCCGTGTTCACCTTGCAAGGTGGACACCAATACGACGCCGTTCTGCAATTCGGGAGTAACGGTGCCGTTAGTGGCACCGTTTTTCCTCCACCAATCAGATTTTTTTTTTTTTAATTTGTCAAAGGAATTTAGCGACCCCAAAAATTGTGAATATACTATTACGTAACCGTGAATATAAAGTTCTGCAGCTGTGAATATATAGAGTTAAAAAATTATGAACATAGAGTTCTATAATTATGAACATAGAGTTTTGTGATTGTGAATACAGAGTTCAATAATTGTGAATATGGAGTTCAAAAATTATGAACATAGAGTTCTATAATTATGAATATACAGTTCAGTAATTATGAACATAGACTTCTAGAGTTTAAAAATTATGAACATAGAATTCTATAATTATGAACATAGAGTTATGTAATTGTGAATATAGAGTTCAATAATTGTGAATATGGAGTTCAAAAATTATGAACATAGAGTTCAATAATTGTGAATATGGAGTTCAAAAATTATGAACATAGAGTTCTATAATTATGAACATAGGGTTAAGTAATTATGGACATAGAGTTCAGTAATTATGAACATAGATTTCTATAATTGTAAACATATAGTTTGGGAAGGAAACTGCTGAATCTGAAGACAAACGCAGTTAATGGCGAAAGAAAACAATTTTTTTTAATTGACACGAAGTCGTTTTCCACCAAAACGACGCTGTTTTGGAACCGTGTACACAGTTCCATAATATAATTTGTCAATATATAATATATATTATACGGGGAAGTCTTAGTCTTAGTCTTACAAATGATACAAAGGAGTGAAAGTTATACGGGGAAGTCTTTGGAATTACTTTTTTTTAAAAAGAACGAAATGAAAGATCATAGTGCTGGTTTGGGCAATCTTGAGGGGTTCTACAAACCTAGTGGGACTAGTCAAGTGAGGCTGAAAGAGCTGAGACTTGTCCTGCTAGTCGAGTTTATAGCATGGGGGAATTGGTCTAGGAAGCTAAATGCTGAGATACATCCTTTTACCCAATGATGGGCTGCTAGCTGGGCACAGTTTCTGAGGGTTACAGCTTACTGAGGTACTGACAGCAGAAATGTTGGGCAGTTATTGTTTGGTTGATAAAAAAAAAACATAAAAAATATATACTACTTGATTGATACTCCGTACTACTTATTTGATACTACATAAGTATGCTCGTTGCACCCAAATAAGCCTTCAAATCCGGCACTGCTTCAATGGCTTTGATCAATGCAGCATCCACAACCTCCTTCAATGAAACTGATCAAGTGTAGACCTTCACCAAAAATGGACCGTGATATAAGTAATCTAACACAAAATGACTAAAAGACAGTGAAAGATAGAAGAAAAGTCTCAAGTTTAGATTGTTGGGGAAAATTCGGATAGAATATGTCGTAGACCTGGGGCTACTGTTTTTATAGGCTGAGAATGGATGAATCCTGAAGGGATCGGTGACGTGTGCAAGACACTACCTTAAAAGCAAAAATTTCCCGGAGACGGTTGTAGTCTTACCGGTTGCTTTCGACCAGTTAACACCGAAGCTCAGGATTGCAGAAGAGAAGAAGAGAATTCGATGAGTGAATAGAACTGAGGAGAAGCAGGGTATTTATAGTATTGAAAATACCCGCCCCTCCCCTCTCAGCCATTCATGCTCCACGATTTTAGGAAGAGTTGTGGTGAAAATGCCCACAAGAATAGGAAGACTTGTTCCACCACAACTTAATGTGTGGATAGTAGATTTCTACATGAAATCTACCTCTAAAAAGGAAAAAAACTCGGAATTAAAATAAAGCCCGAGTAAAACGCTGACCCCACCCCACCCCACCCCACCCCGACGCGCGTGCGAACCGGGCCGGGCGGGCGGCGGCGGCGCGCGTGTGGGGTTCCCTTTCCTTCTCTCTCTACAATAGTTTAAGCCTTCCAAATGAGTTGGTATTAAAAAGGTGGGAATTAGTCCCTTATCCTTCCAATGTGGGACAAGAGTGTCTTCCTTCTACACACTTTAAACCACCATCTTAAATGTAATCTCCAACAATCCCCCACACATTCAAGGTGGCAAGAAGAAGACGGAATTTCTGGCATGAGTGCTGATCTTAATGTCAGTGGTTGTACCTTGAACTGACACGTAGTGACTTGAGTAACTTTCTCCTTTGATAGTGAATTAGATCTTGAACTATCGAAAGAAGAGTTAATTTTGAACTCAGTTCACACACCAGCAATCACCCTATAAGTATATATAACTTGGTCTTTCTCGTAAGGTCAACTCTTTGACCTGAGGCCTATCTCTGAATAGGTGTGTTTAGATTCCAGGTTTATATAACCTCGAAGTTTGCTCACTGTATTGCTATTAAGCCCATCTCCCTCGATGTTTCGAGGATAGCTCTTTTGTTTAGCCCTTTCGTGAGAGGATCTGCAATGTTCTTTTCGGATTTCACATATTCTAGTGAAAGTACGCCACTTAGAATTAGTTGTCTCACAGACTCATGTCTGACTCTTATGTGTCTCCTCTTACCATTATAGACACTATTTTTGGCTACGCATATCGCAGCTTGCGAGTCACAATGTATGGGCACTGACGGCGTAGAAGACCCCCACAATGGCACGTCTGCCAGTAGGTCCCTAAGCCACTCAGCCTCTTGCCTTGCTAGATCAAGAGCTATAAATTCAGCTTCCATCGTTGATCTGGCTATGCACGCCTGTTTCGTGGATTTCCACGATACTGCTGCTCCTCCCATGGTAAAAACATACCCGCTGGTGGAGCTCACCTCATCACTATCATTCACCCAATTCGCATCGCAATACCCCTCTAGGGACGCTGGGAAGCCAGAAAAGTGCAATCCCCAGTTCATCGTTCCCTTTAGATAGCGTAACACCCTCTTTAGTGCATTCCAATGGGTATCGCTGGGATTATGAGTGTATCGACTTAGTCGATTTACCGCAAGTGCAATATCCGGTCTGGTATAGTTCATTAAGAACATCAGACTCCCGATTATTTTCGCATATTCCTCTTGAGACACACTTGCCTCTGTGTTCTTCGAGAGTTTTGCACTTGGGTCATATGGAGTTTGCGCAGGGTTCACTTCAAAACTGTTAAACTTCTTTAGCAGTTTCTCTGTGTAGTGACCCATGTGATAACTTGTAGCCATCTTTCTCTTTGATGACTTTCACTCCAAGTATCACATCGGCTTCGCCCATATCTTTCATATCAAACTTGTCACACAGAGACCTCTTTGTCTCTTTTATTGCATTTATATTTGAGCTAAAGATTAGCATATCATCTACATAAATGCAAATCAAGACAATGCTAGACTCAATCTCTTTTGAGTACAAACAAGCATCTGATCGGTTTACCGTGTATCCCAGATCTAACAGTGTTTTGTGGAACTTCTCGTACCACTGTTTGGGAGCTTGCTTTAACCCATATAGGGATTTTACTAGTCTACATACCTTCCCTTCTTGCCCGGGGTTGGCGCATCCAGGAGGTTGAGACATGTAAATTTCTTCTTCCAGGTCTCCATTTAGGAAAGCTGTTTTTACATCCATTTGATGGACAAGCCACTTGTGAGAAGACGCTAGAGCAAACAATATGCGTATTGTGGCTATTTTCGTTACAGGGGAATAGGTGCAGAAGTAGTCTTCACCAAACTTCTGTTTATATCCCTTAGCCACAAGTCTTGCTTTGTACCTTTCAATCGACCCATCGGGTCTCATCTTCCTTTTGAAGATCCACTTACAGCCAATAGGTTTGGCTCCCTTCGGTAGGTCTATAACCTCCCAAGTGTGATTAGATTTGATTGAATGTAGCTCACTTTGAATTGCTTCTTTCCAGAAGACCGCATCGACTGAGCGCATAGCTGCCTCAAAGGATTTTGGTTCCTCCTCTAGAATTAACTGACACACAAACTGATCAGAAATTTCATTAATGTCATTTACTTCAGAAATGTACGTAATGAAATCAGGCCCAGAACTTGTCTCGGTCCTTTTTCTCTTACTCCGTCTAGGTTCTTCTGACTCAATTTATGTTTCAGAAGTTGAAGGTAGTGAGGACGAGACTTTTTCATAGGTATTTGATCCACGTTTTAGTGGGAATATGTGTTCAAAGAACTCGGCCTCTCGTGCCTCGCACATAGAGTGTCCGTCTAGATACATAAATCTATATGCAGCGCTATTTTCTGCATACCCCACAAATATTGCATCTGAGGTTTTAGGGCCAAGATTAGGTTTCTTGAAGTAAGGAAGACCTACCTTGGCCAGGCATCCCCACACTTTGAAGTATTTTAGATTGGGTGCGTAACCTTTCCATAGCTCATATGGAGTTTTTTCATAACCTTTGTGAGGTATCCTGTTGAGGACGTGGTTAGCTGTTAATGCAGCTTCCCCCCACAAGGAGTTAGAAGCACCTGCGCTTATTAGAAAGGCATTTATCATTTCCTTTAGGGTTCTATTTTTCCTTTCAGCCACACCATTTTGTTGTGGTGTATAAGGTGTTGTCACCTCATGGATGATTCCATGTTTTTCACAAAAGGTTTTGAGGGAGGTAGACTCATACTCTCCACCCCTGTCAGACCTAAGTCTTTTTATCTTTTTCTCTAACTGATTTTCTACTTCAGTTTTAAAGCTTATAAATTTTTGTTCTGCCTCATCTTTAGTTCTAAGCAGATATATCTTTGAAAACCGAGTGAAATCATCTATAAAG